GCATTTTGCAAAGGCTCACCTGCTAGTCTTATGGACAACATGAAAAGATGTGGGTAAGACAGTAATAGTTCAGTTAGATGGCTTTGGAACTAGCTGAGATATCGGACCTGAGAACTTAATCAGCTCTATGCCCTGAAGACATTTAAACTTTTTAAACAATACAGGTAAGCAGAATTTTTTTTTTCTGGTCTTTTGTTTGTTTTTGATACAGACTAGTTTCATTATATTCTATGACTTGAATAGAGCTTCTCAAAAGAATAGCTAATTCTAGAAATTCAAGGATTTGTTTACTGTTTTACAGATTATGGAAACCAAATACTTTTCTTGGAACTGTTAGCTCACACACTCACTCTGGTGTGAGCCATTGTTAGATTGAGTTTTTTTTAATCTTTTATTTTTTTCCAATTACATGTAAAAACATTTTTAACATTAGTTTTTAAAATTTTTGAGTTACAAATTTTCTCCCACCCTCTCTCCTCCACCCCTAAGACATCAAACAATTTGATATAGGTTATACATGTGCAGTCATGCCAAACATATTTCCATATTAGTCATGTTGTGAAAGAAAACACAGATCCCCCACCCCCAAACAAAACCACCAAGAAAAATGAAAACGAAAAACTATACTTCAAACTGCACTCAGACTCCATTAGTTTTTTCTTTGGAGATGGATAGCATTTTTCATCATGAGTCCTTTGGAATTGTCTTAGATCTTTGTATTGCTGAGAATAGCTAAGTCATTTACAATTGATCATTGCACAATATTATTGTAACTGTGTACAATGTTGTCTTGGTTCTGCTCACTTCACTTTGTATCAATTCATGAAAGTCTTTCCAGGTTTTTCTAAAAGCATCCTGCTTGTCATTTCTTATAACCCAGTAGTATTCCATAACAGGTAGATAGAGTTTCTAATGTGGTGTATTGGGAAAAAGTATATCTCTGCCTAATCTATCTGCATTCATCTGTATCTATGTCTTTGACTAAATGTTTTAAACACTACCATGACTTCATAGGTGACCTCTCACCTTATCTTGTCAAACAGTCTTTTTTCTTGGAGGGGGTATAAGTATGGAAAATTATCTTAGGGAAAAGTGCTCATGTGGCATTGAAGGCATCAAATATTTTTTCCATATTAATTTTCTTGTCACAGGATTTTATTGGAGTCAGTTAAGTTGGCAGATTTATGTATAGAGAGCAAAGACTAGGTTACAAGGGAGAGTGTTCTTTCAGAGAAATCTTCTAAATCTTACCAAGTCCTATGTCAACTTATCAAAAGAGTCTGATGGGGGGGGGTGTTGTCAAGTATATTACATCCTCCTTTTTTTGTTGTCTAGTCATTTTAGTCATGTCTGACTCTTTATGAGCCCATTTGGGATTTACCATTTCCTTCTCCAGCTCATTTTACAGATGATGAAATGAAGGCAAACTAGGTAAAATGACTTGCACAGGGTCACACAGTTAGTAAGGGTCTGAGACGATCTTTGAACTCAGAAAGATGCATCTTCTTGACTTCAAGCCCAGCACTGTGTCACCTAGTTGCCACACATCCTGCCTGCTTTGACAGCTAAGCTCTATAGGGCAAGAGAATCTTAGGTATTACAATGGTAACCCCAAAGGAACGGAATAGAAGAAAGGAAATTTAGAAATAGGGTTGGGGTAAGAACTTCCAGAGAAAGAAACAATCAATGATTTTGGGGGCTCCATTCTTTATAAAGTAGAGAATTGTTATACAGATTGTGGATGCTTTGTGCTTCAGTATCAGGCAATACTGCTGTGTCTTTCTCATCCAGGTTCCACTACAAATAGAAAGAGCCTCATGTACTGTATCACAAACACATCTTTGCTTTGCTTATTGCCCCAACTTGCTGATCAGTGACTTCCTTCAAGATAACTGGCGGTGTTGCCAGTCCATTTAAGGTGACATGGGAGATTTACAGATACTGCACATTCCCTGAAGTTCAGAGAAACACTGACATGTTGAAGGAAGAAAACAAATGGCACATGCTTCCTCTCTGAGGCAGGGAAGTTTCAGCTTGTTGTTTTTGCAAAACTTCTAGCTATTTATTTAGGGCTTGGTTCAGCAGAATTCATGGACTAATCAAGGATTGAGCATGTTATGTGTCTTCTTGTATTCCTCCCCGTGTGTTCTTGGGAAAATGATTTTTTGATCTTCAGCAAAATGGGAGTGAGGTAATTTGTTTATCCTAAGGTAGACACAACAATATGTTCCAAGCACCTTGAGATCTATTGATATAAGAAGCCGATCACATATCGGTATATTCTGTGAACTTTGAAGTGCATCATATTCACAGAGAGAAGTTGGGTGGGAAAACTGGAAAATTGAGCCAAGGTAATATATTCAGAAGATGACTGATTAGGCATTTTAATAGCCTTTGAAGTTTTTCAGCAGTATAGAAACAATAACATTTGGCACCTAATTAGTAAGAATAATTATTTAAAAGAGAAAATTGCCAACTGTGTTGAGCTCTTTTGATGATCCACCCTACTTTTTCCTCTACCTACAAGGTGACCTCTTGCCAGTATCATTCTCCATCTCCTCTTTTCCCTCCTTCTCTTCTCTTCTCTTCTCTTCTCTTCTCTTCTCTTCTCTTCTCTTCTCTTCTCTTCTCTTCTCTTCTCTTCTCTTCTCTTCTCTTCTCTTCTCTTCTCTTCTCTTCTCTTCTCTTCTCTCTTCTCATCTTCTCTCTCTCTCTCTCTCTCTCTCCCCCCCGCATTCCCATCTATGGAGCAGTGCCTTCCCCTCTACTCCCCACCCCCTTTTTTGTCATGCTATTTGCTCCAGGTACAAAAATTCCTAGTTATAACTCTGCATATACAGTAACTTAATGATTTTGATAAAGATGGAAAAGTCTTACAAAGATATTAAATAAGTATAGGAAGACCTCAGATGATATTTGAAAAGGCAGATTTTGCCCTGTGAAATCCTTCATACTCGAGCGGAAAGAATAGTGGGTTAAACAGAAGTCAGGAAACTCAACTCAAAGATTCTGATAAGAACTTTGCTACTTACTAGTTGTGTGATTGTGGGCAAATCGCTTAATCTCTCTGGAGCTCTGTTTTTTTTTTATCTGTAAAATCAAGTTAGTTACTCTATACCATCTGCCTCATAGATAAACAAGTTAAATGACTCCTATTTTGCAGAAGACAAATAATTTCATAAGAAAACATGGTGGGATACAATAAAAAGGTCCAACAAAGTGATAAGATGATTTATATGACCCTTTCCAATCTGATTCCAAGGTATCGGGGTTTCCTCAGCTTCTTACTTGTGGTGTCATAATGTATTTTGATAATTAAGAGCATTGGTTCTCTATCCTCATGCCGATTCCTTAACTCCAGTCCTTATGATAATTCCAGCAAGATTTCCAGCAAGATTTTCATTCATTTAACAAAAACTCATAGATTTGGAGCCAGAAGGGACGTTAAAGGTCATTTAATCCACCTCTCTTATTTTTAAAGATGAGGAATCTCTTTGTCTCTCTGTCTCTTTCTCTCTCTCTGCCTCTCCCCCTCCCTCTCTCTCTTGTTGCATAGCTAATAAATATCAGAAGTAGAATTTGAACTAAGGTCTGTTACTCCATCTATAACGCAACCAATATTTTCTGATATCTATTATTGCATTTTTTTTCTTCTTCTTATACTGGTTTCCCTAGCTTACCCAGGCTGCAAGTGCAGTGTCAACTCATAGCCTGACCCCAATGGTGACCAGCACAGAAGCTTTAACCTGCTGTGATTCTGGGATGATTCTCTCCTTCTTAGGCAACATGGTCCCTTCTCTAAGGGACTTACTATACTGATGCTAGACCTAATTTAGACACATAGTTACCTTTAAGCCCTACTGCAGCTCAGAATTCATAAGCCCAAGTGATCTACTAGCCTCTGCTTTCCCCAGGAGCAGGGATTACCAGGGTGTACCACCACACTCAGCTAAATGGTTTGCTTTCACATCACTAACATTTCCCATGTACCTTTCCTCCTTCCTTGAGAGCTATCTCTCATAACAAAGAATAAAAATAATTGAAAAAGTCTAACATTATGTGCAAGTATTCCACATCCATGGTCCCTGGTTTTTGCAAAGAATTCAGGGAAGTGCCTTCTTAGGTTGGGCTTTTTGTTCAAAAAAAAAAAATAAAGTTCTGAGAGGCAGAGAGAAGACGGGGATGGGTAGTCAGTGATTTGTTCTTTCTACTTTTATTTCTCTGCCTCTCTTTTTGCCTCTCACTGATGGCATTCCAGGCTATTTGCCTGTCAGTCATCCTGAAGTCAATCAGCTTTTTGTCTCTGTATGGGTTTTGTTCGGTGCTACTGAATGAGTGATCCAGAGAGGAAAAAGCAATAATAATACCAAATAAGGTAGAATGGGAGGAGGGCGTGGGGAAGCACTTGAAAAGAGGAATGTCTCTATAAAACAGGGACACTTAGCAGTAGAGCCAGTGAAAAATGATACCAATTATATAAAGCAAAATGCCACCCATCAAGCAGAACAGTTTAATTCTCTCTATTCTCAGCTATTTATTACTTTTTGTACAAGACTCAATACATGTCTCTCAAAATAGAATAAAATAAAATAAAATAAAATAAAATAAAATAAAAATCCCTTTACATCCACCTCTTCGCCTCACCAGCCACTCTTAGGTAGGATGAGACCCTCTACTGAGAACAAAAATAAGAAACCACTTCTCATATGTCATTATAAGTTTACAAGGGCTATAATCTAATTGTAGTACATGAACTTGTACTGGGCATTTCCAGGTTCAATTTCACTTCACTCTTTAGTCCCTGTTTTGACTGTTAGAGAAGAAAAAGAAGGGAGTGATTCATGGTGTCAAAAATTTTGCACTTGATTTTAATTTTCTGGTGTCTCCCAAATCCCACAAATCCCACAAGTATACCTTCTCTTACTAATACACCTAAACTCATCTGACTTTTGTTGGAAAACCATATTAAAAATTTTTTTTAATGACTTTCTCTTTTCCAGGACTCCTTTCCCCTTCAGGTCTGTCGTAGATGGTCCAGGGCTCACAGCTGGATTCCCGAAGGTCGGCCACAAGATGGCGACAACGTCACAGTGGAGAGTGGCCAAACATTGCTACTTGACATCACTACTAGTGTCCTCAGTATGCTGCATATTAAAGGTCTGTAGAGATGGAGGGTTGATGGTCTTTTTATGATTTTAATTTTCTTCAAGTGGGCCGGGGGTGGGAGTTACTTTTTTTAAGTTGAAGGACTTGATTGAATTCTTCCTTGGAGGTGCGTGGTCAAGAGCGTGTGAGGAAAGGGGGAAGAGGGGCAGCGTGCCTTTTGATGCCAGGGATGAGGTCCCAGGGGCATCAAAGTTGGGAGCCCCTTTTTCCTGAGTCTTTGGAGCCCAGTGCCTCTTTAATTTCTCTTTTTAAGGACAAGAAAATCAATGTGGGCAGCATCCTTAAAGAGTGTCATTGTTTTCCAGAACACTCTTTAGACATGCCTATCCTGGCTGGCTCCCACAACATAGCCAGAGACCCTAAAACTAGTTAGTGTTGCTGCCTTTGAAATTCTCTGCCAAGAGAGCAACTTCCTTCTGCTTTTACCCTGTTGAGGTTTTGATTTCTTGATCCCATGAAAAGGCAAATAAGTATGCTTCCTTATTACAAAATGAGCAGCAGGCTAGAAACTTGAAAGAGAATAAGGATACAAGGTTGAGTTCAGTCACTGGCTCTCCTACAGCCTTTTGGAGTGATTTTTTCCTCTCTGTGCCTTAGTTTTCTCATCTCAGTTAAGTAAATATAAATATCTCTGCCTGCTGTGATGAAGAATAGTTATTCAAAGTGACTTAGCCAATTCAATTCCATTTGTGTCAACAAACATTTTTTAAGGGCTCATTCTGCGCCAGGTACTGGGTTAGGCTCTAGAGATACAGTGACAACATTAAAACAGTGCCCGTCTTCAGGGACCTTACATTCTTTATGGAATGCTGGCAGATAAAAAAACACATTTGGGAAATTTGGTTAATTATGGAAACATGATAAAACTTTGTACCCAGGTGTAAAGTTTTAATATACCCATATATAGTAATTATAAAAATATTTGCATCCTATATAGTATATAAAACTGTAGTCATCTCTGAAAGATTTAACTGTGGCCTATATGGCAAGACATTTTTATCAATCTATGTCTTTAAAGCATTCTTAAATTCTTCTTAAGAAGATTTTTTCAGGCAGACTGGTTAATTAGGCCTTATTAGGACAACCAAAGTAATCTGCCTGCTTGGGCTCTGGCCCCTCCTCTTTTTGTAGGCCTCTGCATATGTATAGCCAGTGGCTTAGGGATTCTTGCCTTGTTGACAGCTGCCCACTGCCTAGGGGCTGTAGATGATAGAGTTAAGTGACCCCCTGGAAACTACAGTTCTGAGAAAAGAAAGTCTGTAGAGACCCTTAGCCACAGGGCTCTTCCTTTTACAGAAGTATAATCCCTCCAAGGGGCATGGGTGACTTCAGGAGTTCAAGCATCTCTGGATTGTAATTCAGAGAGTCATTTGGGAGAAGTTTTTCAATAAAAAGTTGCCTAGTTATATCCCAATTTGACAACTAACTTCAGACGAAGTGAAAAAAGAAATCAAATTTGTGTGTGTGTGTATGTATGTGTGAGAGAGACAGACAGAGAGATACAGAGAGAGACAGAGATAGAGACAGAGACAGAGACACACACAGAGAAGACAGTAATAAGAAAAAATGCAAAAAAGCTCAGGGGTGAGTAACCAGAGAAATTTTGAAAAGAGCTGAAATTTGCCTTTGTCTCCTGACTCTTCAATTTCAAGTTCAGAGGTAAATGAAATGCTCAACTCAAAATGAACAAGTTGGAAGGAATGCAAAAAGGGGTAGGGGAAACTGGAATATGTAGAAACCTGATAGAGGAAATGTAAAGAACATAACTCTGGAGATTTCATTACAGAGGTAGGTGGTATCATGGTCATTGCTCTCTGATTGGAAGGAAGCCTGCGGTTTAATTCAGTCCTCAGTAAATGGTCAGAATTGTGCCAGGCACTGAGGGTGATACAAGAGAAGTCCCCTGCCCTCAGGTAACTTACAATATCATTGGAGAAGGCGAGACACACAAACATGGTAGTTGTAAAGAAACAAGATGGTCAATATTCAAGTGCCTCTGTGTGCTTTAACGTTTGCAAAGTGAAATAGATATTAAATCATTTTGTACTCACAACAACCTTGGCAGGTAGGTGCTATTATTATCCCCATTTTACAGATGAGAATCAGCCTTCTGTTCTTTAGGCTAAGCATTAGCCTTCTTTAGGCTCAATATTAGCTACATTATTTCCCTTCAAAGTCCATCAGCTCAGACCTTTGACTATTTTAATTATTCCCTTGATACACAGGGCTGACACACAGCCTGGTGAGGGTAGCAGACAAGGGAGAATCTAAAATGGATTTCAGTTTAGTTCATTTATTAAGTGTCTCCTACATGCCAGGCTCTCTGCTAGGCACTTGGAGATGCAAAGACAAAACTAAAAGAGTGCCTGCTCTCAAGCAGCTTACATTCTGTTGAAGGGAAACAATAATAAAACAGATAAATCAATGGAAAAGAAATGCAAATTTCAGTAGGGTGGAGTAGGAGTCAGCACTAACAACTGGGGAAATCAGTAAAGGCTTCTTGCAAGAAGAAACATGGGGCATCTACTTGGCTCAGAGGATAGAATGTCAGGCCTGGAGTCAGGAAGACTCATGTTCCTGAGTTCAAATCTTAGCTTCAGACACTTCCTAGCTGTGTGACCCTGGGCAAATCACTTAACCATGCTTGTCTCAGTTTCGTCATCGGTAAAATGATCTGGAGAAGGAAATGACAAACCACTCCAGTTTCTTTGCCAAGACAATGCTGAAAGGAGTTGGCCATGACTGAAAAATGACCAAACAACAACAAGAGGAAATAATTGAGCGAGACCTTAACAAGAACTATGGGCTTCAAGAGATGAAGGTGACACGGAGAGAAAATTCCATGTGGGAGCCCTTCTGTGCAAAGGCACTGTCACAATTAGCACAGAGTGGGAGATTGAATGACTCTCATATATACATAGGAAATATAAGAAAATCTAGGGATTGATTCAAGTGGAACCACTTTAAGTGGGATGGCTCTGCAGAGGCATTTTTGAAATTTAACTAGCCTGATCCCATGATAATGTTTGGTAATAAAAATTATTATGTCTGGCATTCATGTACTTCTGGGTGGTGATGTTCATGGCAGAGGCACAAAGTTGAGACAATGGAGGAGGTGGCAGGTCCTCATTTCCATTCCTATGAAAATTATTTGGATTAGACCCTTTATTTTGTTTGGATAAAGAACTCCAAATGAGGAAAATTTCTCTGTAAATTTGTTGTTGTTGTTTGGTCACTTCAGTGACATCTTACTCTCTCTGACCTCATTTGGGGTTTTCTTGGCAGACATAGTGGAGTGGTTTGCCATTTCCTTCTCTAGTTCATTTTACAGATGAGAAAACTGAGGCAAACAGAGTGAAGTGACTTGCCTGGGGTCACATAGCTAGTAAATGTCTGAGGCCAGGTTTGAACTCAGGAAGGTGAATCTTCCTGACTCCAGGTCCACTGCACCACCTAGCTGCTTAATGTTCATTAAGCATTTAGTATATGCCAGTCACTGTGCTAAGCACTTTACGAATATTATCTCATTTGATCTTCATAAGAACCTTGGGAGGTAGGCGCTATTATTATCCCCCTTTTACAGTTGAGAAAACTGAAGCAGACAGAGGTTAAATGAATTGCCCAGGGTTACATAGTTAATGTGTCTGGTGTCAAATTTGAATTCAGATCTTCTTGCCTTCAAGTTCAGCTCCCTCTATTTTATGCAACCTAGCTACCTCATCTCTGAACATTAAAATTCTACTGTGTTAGAGCTTCTCAAAAGAATTGACTTATTTTTCTTTGGATTATAGTTTGGTTGTGAGACAGACACGGAGGGGCACGAAGAGTCTTCTGCAGTGCCATTGGGTTGTGGTGTTATGGAGTTCAGAGCATGGTGAAGGAAAGTCAGGCCAATAAAGCAGATCCATAGGTAGGAGTCTCAGCATTTGGGGAAAATCTAGTGAGGGGAAAAAGCAGTATAAGTAGGTCCTGGAAGAATCAGATAGACCATGAGTGTCATTGTCCTGGGAAATGGGGCAACCTGTTCAATCTCCTTCCTCCCACAAACTCTGCTGCCCTTTACCCTTTTCCTGGGCCCCAATTTCCCCCAGTTCCCTTTGAGAATCAACTAGTCAGTCAAACAACAAGCATATATTAAGTACATACTGTGTGCCAGGAAATGTGCTAGGTGGAATACAAGCCATTGGAGGTCTGTTGAGGCACAGGGATGGGGATTGCTTGACTCTTGTGTGGAGGGATTTTACTCATGTAAGTACCTGAGTAAAAGAGCCCAAGCTGCCCCATCCTGTTTACAAGTCTGATTGTGTGAAGGGACACAGGCACAAATATCGTGATAATGAAGTCAGTAATGATGAATCAGTGGAATCCTTGGATCAAGGCAAAATAAACAGTCCAAGGATAAAATGAGCAAGGATAAACAAAACTGGGTGATGAGAAGATCAAAGGATACAAAAAGTTCTCACAATTTATCATGGTCAGCAAGTCCTGGGATACAGCTTTAGCTTTTTAAATTGGCAAGAAGAACTAACCGCAGTAGACTCCTCTAATCTTAAACATGACCAAAAATTTCTTTCGGAGTAGAGATTGTTTCATTTTTTTGTCCTATCTCCAACGCCTAGCACAGTGCCTGACACATAGTAGGCACTTAATAAATACTTATTGATTGATAAATTGATAACAAGATCATAGATTTAGATGGCACTTATGTCCTAGGATTGTCAAATTGCTCAAAAGAGATAGTATATCTCTAATGTTCTATTTAAGCCTTAGAGTGCTTACGTAAATGATTACATAGATTTTGAACCAGAAGAGACTTCAGACGCCATCTAATCCAATTGTGTTATTTTATAGATTAGGAAAGTAGGACTGAGGGTAGTTAAATGACTTAACCAAGGTCACCTAGATGGGATGTTTCAGAGATGGAATTTGAGCTAGTGGAGCTTGTACCCTTTTCCCTTTACCAATCTCTGCTGCTGACGTTGACTGCTTCT